GGGTTACTAGAGTCTTCAATAAATATTATCTAGCAAAGAATGAGAAGAAGCTACTGAATTTTCACCGTCTATCTTTCTATCTTACATGTGGTTTGATTCCTCCCCCCGCCCCCGGCTCTCCTTGTTTCAAAGATAAACTTCATGAACCAGTTTTGGCAGCTAGAAATACAAATATTCTGTAATCAGATCACTTTGAACTACATACCTGCCAAAAACCTGCAGTTCCCAGGTATTTTTTACCCCCTTAATCAGCAGGATATCTTGGACTATTTGAATAATGTAGGTTCTCTGTTTCAGGGAAACATCTTAATACTTTCTGTATCCTCATGAATAAAAGATTCAGTAAGGTATAATCATGATCTTATAACACATTAAAAAAAACCTTTATGGGTGGAGGGAGGGGATGATACAAGCAGGAATTGTGTGGCTTTCTACTTTGAGAGCATATTTTGCTAAAACATAGAGAACTCGAGACATACATTTAGTCATCAGTTAAATCTGACTTTCTAGGACCCTAGGTGGGGCGAAAAATGGCCCAACACACAAACCAGAAGTTCAGACTTCCGGTTTGCCCATTGGGCCATTTTTCTCCCTCTGAAGGCTTCAGGAGGCTTCCCTAAAGCCTCTGAAGGGCGAAAAAACAGCTCAACGTGCAAACTGGAAGTCCATTCTGAAAGTTCCAGTTTGTGTGTTGTGCCATTTTTCGCCCTCAGGAAAGCCTCCGGAGGGTGAAAAATGGGCAAAAATCAAGGCCGAAAATCAGTTAGCCAGCGCACTGGAGCTGCCAAGGCAATGCCTCGCATGCTCTCAGAAATGGCTCCACATGCCACCAGTGGTACGTGTGCCATAGTTTTGCCATCACCGTTCTAGGTCCTCATTTTCCTGACCTCCAAAGGGTTGAAGGCTGAGTCAACATTGAGCCTGGTGAGATTTGAACTGCCAAATTGCAGGCAGCTGGCAGGAAGCAGAATTAGGCTGCAGTAATGCATTCTAATCACTGCCCCACTGCGACTCATGTTCCAGTACTTAATGGTATTTTAACAGCAGGTTACAGAATGCTTGAAGACTCAATAGCAGACAAGATGGAACAAAAGAACCTTCAGACAATACAGTGAATAATAGCAATATATGTAAAAAATCAGATCTGCAGATCATTGGATGATGATACAAATTAAAATTTAATTCAATTGAATCCAATGAAATCAACAGTATGAAAATTTATAGTGTTGAATACCAGAATTAACAAATGTATTTCAAGTGCTGATCATCACCTTTAATGTCACATATGTCTTGAGGCTTGATTACCTTTAAAACCTCTGACTCCAAGCAGAATTTCCTCACCCAAGAATTACCTGCATCCCTCTTGAGGTATGAGAGAGGGATACCGAGAGGTGATCATTTTCTACAACAGCTTCCCTATAACTGAACACACTACTTGGTTATAAGATCATGCTCTCATTTCTGCCATTTAGAAAGCTGCAGAAAATCTGAACCATAAGAAAGGCTGAGCACCAAAGAACTGAGGCCTTTGAACTATGGTGCTGGAGAAGACTCCTGCGAGTCCCTTGGACTGAAGGCGATCAAACTGGTCAGTCCTAGAGGAGATCAATCCTGACTGCCTTTTAGAAGGCCAGATCCTGAAGATGGAATTCAAGTACTTTGGCTACCTAATGAGAAGGAAGGACTCACTGGAGAAAAGCCTAATACTGGAAAAGATTGAGGACAAAAGTACAAGGTGATGACAGAGAAGAGGTAGCTGGATGGAGTCACTAAAGCAGTAGGTGTGAGCTTAAATGGACTCCAGAGGATGGTAGCGGACAGGAAGGTCTGGAGGAACATTGTCCATGGGATCGTGATGGGTCACACACAATTAACAACAACATAAAATCTGGCTCTTCCAGAGACCATCTGTGATACAAGAATGAGAGACTGCACTTTAGTGCTATTAATATGATTATTAAATATATTTGCAACATTGATTTTGTATTCTGATGTTGTTTTGTAGTGTCTTATATATTGTCTTAACACACATTGTGCATTGCTTTGTCACAGTAGAAAAACATATAAAACATATATTGTATAAATCTACAAAATGATAGAGAATGATTTCCAAACTATAACAACTTTGTCCATACAACATACTAATCTGAAATCAAACAAATCTTATAAAGCATTAAGAAGAATTTCTATTCACTAAGAAGAATTTCTATTGTGACTCTTAAAATGGACAAGAGTGAAAACTTTTCTCTCAAACTCTTGAGGCCAGATAAATTCAAGCAACTGGCCTAGGAATGGTCCCAGTTGTGAGCAGGAATACAGAACTCTGAGGCCAGGAATCACCATTTAGGGGGAAAATGTACACAAAGCAACATACAAAGTGATTTGAGGCAGGAATAAGCTGAACAGGTTTGCTAGAAGCATTTCAATGCCATGTTTTAATGCCATTGAAATTATGTATTTTATTTGATTACATTAGCATTAATAATGTCATCAAGAAATGAAACAAAGTCACAAAACTTGCTTTATCAAAAAGGAAATGAGAAATTCTAACTTAATGAAATTATCAGAAACTTTAGAGTCAACTAGACAACCTGTATCCCGTGGAGTCATCTTTTGAGAGAAAGATAATGCAGTCTGATGTGACCAGAATCAACATGAAATTTACTGAATTGTTTTGGGAAGGATTGACTTCTGATTTCTTGTTGGCTTCACCATGAATTTTGCTTGAGAGAAACTGGTAGGGAGCATTGGAAAGCATGATCATGTGACCACTGCAATATCTATCATTTTGCAAATAAAATTGACCTGAACTTCATGGAAATTTCAATTTCAGTCTGGTTTAAGTCCAGATTTTTATGCATTCTTTAAGCTAGTGGATTTGAAAAAAATATTCAAAAATTATTATGTTATAGTCAGGGATGTGCAGTCAGGGGAGGCAGGGGAAGTGGGGCCTCATCAGTGTCATGAGAAAAAGAAAAGAAAATTTAAAATAATTAAAAAGGCTAAGGTAGTTGCTGCCAGACTCCAGAGTCACA